AAAACTAGTTTATTCTTTCTCGATACAACTTTTGTAATACACAGAATTTCCACAGTCAATTTAAACTTAACAACCTTTATAACACACGCTATAAATCACAGTGATTCACACACTTTACTTACGGAGCCTACTGTTCGCTTGAATCAATTATCCATCTCTTCGATCTATCTGCCAATCTCGCTGGCTTTCTTTGCCAGGCTTATATACTAGAAAAAAGAGGGCGCCTCGGACAAACTAGAGTTGCCAGGAAAATTCATGATTCTTCTAGAAACTCCAGCGCGCATGCTCCCAGCGTCGCGTGATTTCCGCTGTCGTAACAATATATTTAATATAATTAAGTTGCCTTGTGTGGTATGATAACATTTTAAATGCTTTCTCCATGCTTTAGTTATATACAAACTGTTAAGCCTTTTTTCTTGGGTGGAGGGGTATTCAGTTTCGATGTAATGGCGGCGACACATTGGCTTGGTTGTTAGGGCGCAATCTGCGTGTCGGTTGGGGTAGAATTCCTGTCATTGAACATGCACATCCATTCAGCCGTGGGAGTGTTATAGTGTGACTTTCAATCCCATTATTCAGTGGTAAAAGAGTAGCCCAAAAGTTAGCGATGGGTCGTTTGATTAGCTACCTTCTCTCTAGTCTATCACTTCTAAATTAAGGATGACTAGCGCAGATAGTCCTCGAGTAGCTTTGTGCGAAATTCGAATACAAAAAACAAGACTACAAATGGTCAGCGTATCATTGTAAGATTTCAAAATATATACATTTTTCAAAGGTTAATGCTACAGTCAAATGCTCTACTGTGCACACATTATTCTTATGCATTTTAAGTCCATCAATTAATTATATGCAGTTTACAATTATCTCATCTCTGCAAATCAAATAACAAAATAAGACGTTTCGTTCAACCAGTCAGGACGAAAAACAAACCTGACAATACTGTAAAAATAAATTAAAAACTTATACCCAAGTCTTTAATTTCTTACATAACTACATATAACTTCAGGCAATGTAGGCTAAATGTTTAGTTTTAACAGAATTTTAAGTAACCTAGATAGACAAATTATTTGTCCCCCTGTGTGACAGCGTTAAGTCTTTGGATTTACAACAAATCAGGGATCGTTTTCCCTCGATGAACACAGCAGATAGCACGATGTGGCTTTGCTCTAACAAAATACACCCACACACACACAAAGTATTTAGCTCAAACATTTTCCACCTGGTAAAGGTACACATTCGTCTGTTTGCAATATTATTTATGATTACGTTTCCCCATGGGCCAACGATAAGTTCACAGAGGTTCGATTCCACTTGTTTGACCCAGCACAGAGAGCCTATTATACAGATTTACACTAAACAGATAAACCAAATCAATTTTTAATTATTAAGCATGATGATATTTCAAATATAGTGTGGTTGAAATACTATTAATTTACACTTTTCCCTTATTCTTGAAAATCCCTTAGGGGCTAGATTAAGAATATAGTGTTAAAAACGTAATATGCCTAACATAATGTCTTATGACAAGTATAATTAATTGTAATGATGCTTCGCCAGTTTGTAAATGGCGTTCACACCAGAGCAATTGTTATTGCAACAATGGTGTATATAAGTAGTTTTCCGACCAGTATTGTCTTCGTTATATCCCATCTGGTCTGAAGATTTCTGGATTGAACAAAATACATCGTCGCTAATGGATATGACGAATCTAATGTTAAAATATAATTGTCCTAACGTAATATCAAATAACAAGTATAATTAATTACAGTTTATTATTACTAAAAATAAAACATTTTTCGCTGTGTTGGGCTTCTATCGTTCTTAGAAAACTGGATAAAACAGTAACAATGGGTAATTGCTTTATCAATGTACTTTCACTCAAATTATTTTTTAAACGTTTCATTATCTATTTAAATTCTTATACTCCCTACTTGTGATTTTATACTTTTTTTACTAATTTCAACGAAAGTTTTCCTTGGTGTGAGAAGAATGAAGAGTAACTGACTAACTACTGTTTGCCATTTATTTCTCAGTGGCACAGCGGTATGTCTCCGGACTTACAACGCTAGAATCCGAGTTTTGATACCCGTGGTGGGCACAGCACAGATAGCCCATTGTGTAGCTTTGTGCTTGATTACAAACAAACAAACAATTGTTCCATATGTAATACTTAAACATAAATAGAAGTTGAAGTGGTGCCATCTTGTACCAATATTTACAACATTACCTGGCTCATATTACTTTTTATTTTTTCCATTGTATTAAAGTCAGTTCTGGTTTCCATAAGCTACGAAATGTGTCTTTTTTATTTTATTTACATTATGCTCATTAAATGTTCCCATAATGAATTTTTGTTGCTTTACGAACTTGTAGACCCACTTTTAGCTAATAACTTTTTAATAAGTAATTTTGTTTATAAGTACTCATCTTCTCTAGAGTATTATTTTAATGTATTTTATTCTTTACACGTGTTAGAAGAAATGGGAAAATGGAAAATAATTCTTTATCTCATTTATAAACCTCACCTTTTAGTTTCAACCTATTTTATTTTTAACTTTATTTTACGGAACTAAAATAGATACTTTGTTTTATATTTTCTTTATTCTTATTTGTTTGTTTGATCATTTTTGAAATAAGTGTGTTTTGAAAATGGACTGCTTTGTAAGCTCTACAGATGCCTCAGTTTTATGAGTCTGTGCAGATAATATATCTAGAAACTGTCGAGAAAAAGTGAAATTTTGAAAACCCTGTTGTGAAATAAAAATTAATAAAATTAACTTAATTTTAAGTTATACTATGAATATCTTGATTAATTACTATCCATGTACTCTCACTAAATTATTAGTTGATTAAGGTTATGTTTATTGGCGTTGTGCAGTTTGTTGTTGTTGTTAAACACTAAATAAATCCATCAAGGATTTTTCCTGTTGATCTGAGATTAGGTGGAACATACACATAGATATATTGATTCACTTGTTCTAACAGACCATTTTGATGTTATGTTCTTGTAGTTCAAGTATTTCTCTTCATTATGGCCTATAAACCAAAACCTATTGGATAGTTTCATTAATCTTTCTTCTCTGACTTTTAGCTAGTAGAAGACATTTCTACCTTAGGCCCAAGAAAACAAATTGTAACATCCAGCTTAAGTTTACTGTACTATACTATCATGCTAGGCACTACATAAATTTAACCATCAACTGCATGTGAGTTAATATTCTGTACTACTAAATAATGGTTTTAATCCTTTATCAAAACACCTGTTCTTGTTCTTTAACTAAATATTCACTATATTCTAATGATAAGAAACAGTAGCTCTCTCATACTGGCACTAATGTTTTAAATCTTGAACATATTTTCTCGTGACTAAAAGTGTAATAAAGGTTGACGGAATTATTTTAAAATGATTTGGAAGCCTCACTTCGTCGTTAGAGTCCATGTCATCACGTCCAGTCATGCTCTGTCTCACAACCGCGATTTTGACCACAGCCCTACGGGCGTAGTTTCCATTGCAAATGGGACAGTATTTAAGCTGTTAAGTCCAAAGCATGACTTTCTTCCCTGCTTGCTTTAGACATTCAATCTAGTTACGAGGAGGACGCTTTCCAGCGCCCGTTCTAAAAATTTAATCGCACAGCAAACCATAGTCACTACGTCTGACAATTTAACTGGCATGTCTCCATATGGAATAGCATGAATACCCGTTTAATTATCCAGCTGACTGAGGTATGCAACGGCTGAACGGAGACATATCGTGGAAGTAGCGTGTGCACACGTGACATGTGTCGCTTTTCTAGATGAAGATCCTCATTGACTATCTTTGGTTCTGTTACCTGGAACATTCGGACGACTTTTGCCACTGACCTTTGTATTCGTGGACCCTTATCTGTTAGAAGACGCTGCACTTTGCTTACTCCGGGTGGAGTACAACTTGTTGTAAGCTACTTTCTTGATGGTACTGTTTTCCAAATTGATTCATACTATTTTGTTTTACAGTGCCATTAAGTGCAAGAGATATCCCCATTTTGGAAATTATAAATTCCGGATCTGATTTTTTGCGTTGGAAGGCTGTTACATACCCTTCACAAAAACGACCAATTTTCGGTAGCATCACACTACATACATAATGCCAAAAATTGTCAAAATGTAGTTATGATACATCCGTTTCATTGCAACTTTATAGCTATTGTGGTTTTAGCGTGACTTGCTGATTTGCACAACCAAAATAATTTTACTATAAAGTACTCAACCGTCTGTATAATACATGAAGTTTTTGTCACTTTTAAAATCTGAGATATGTATAACTAGACTGGGTAAACTAGCGGTCATATATATTAACATAGTGTGCTATTGCTCTGCGGACATTTATTTGGAACCTGCCACATACTGAATAAGACATATAT